AGGGAAAGATATTTGCTACTTAAAGAGACTGCTATTGCTGCAACTAGAAAAAGAGAAAAGAAGAGAGGTAAAGATTTTGAGGGAACAAGGGGAGAAAGCTAAATAGAGGAATGGAAACCACTATCAGTAGGCACAGGGCTGTCCTTTGCTATTAGACAGCAAAAGCTCTCTTTAACCAGCAGCAGAAGCTTTGTTACCACTTTCTGCAGGTAAATGAGATTTTAACAACCCTATGTAATAATTAAGGATTCCTTTCTTTGGGCCAGATTTTGAATCATTGTGTCTGTTGCAAGATCAACAGCTGATTATAAGGTGGTGAGTCTGCCTGGAGGACTGCTGCCAGGAGACTCCTGGACAGGCAAAGCAGGGTCAGTGAGGGGCTGGGCATGGTGCTTGGCCAGCCAGCATCCCCAGCACAGCTGAGGGGTCATCCCCAAAGACCAGCTGAGAGAGCCACATATACTGGTCTGTTGGTAGAACTACCATTATCTATAGGCAGCTGAGGGCAGCAAGGGGATGTGAAGGAAGCAACACTGCTACCTGCTTTGCAGATGCGCCCACGTATAACAGTTTCAGGTGGTTTGGGGGTGGTTTGTGTTGGATTTTTGCGTTGTTTGTTTTTGAGATACAAAAAGCTGTTTAATAGCATCACCTCTCGGGGTGGCTGCCTGATTTCCATGAGACCATCTCTGCAGGACACAGTGGAGGTTATAAGAAGCTGCAAAGTTCAAGTCCAGTTTTTCTGGGGCTAGTCAGGAGTATTGTGTATCCCAGTGGGAAGCTGGGAACTTCTTCTTTTTCAGGACTATAAATCATTCGCCTTACTTGTTTGCTTATTGCTATGCATTAAAATTGTCTGTTGCCCAGGTCTTGATCTGAGGGCATGTCTGTGGAAGAGACTATGGAAGTATCTCTATGCCTTTTTTTTTTTCTTTTTAACAGTTGTTTTAAAGTCATAGATTTCAAATAATAAAATACTGTATGAAAAGTTTATATAGCAGGCCAAAAGTTCATGACAAATGGCACAATTGTGTTGCTTTTTTATCACCTGGCTGTATTACAAGTCCCTGTGTGTGCAGCAGCAAGTACATGTTCTTGAAGTGTCTACAAATCACCTTTGAAGTCATAAATGTTGAGTAATTTTTACTGCTTGGCTATCTAAAGTGCTATCCAAAAGAAAAGTTTTCCTCCTCTCTGCCAGCACTGTGACTAGGCAGGTTCAAAGCTCTCCAGGAATATTGGTTCTCATGTCCTCTCTCCCCTTCTCCTCTCCAGTTGTCACTACAAATTGCCCCACCGTGTGAAGGCGAACAACACTATGAGTACTCAGGATGGTGCTGCACAAAGTGTGAGCCAGGTACGTGAGCACTGGCCTGTACCAGCCTCATAGCTGGAAAGTTCATTAGAAACAGCTCTGTGGGTCAGTAAGGCAGCTTGCTCTTAGGACTCTGCTAATCCACTGGCACACACGCCCTCACAGGTGCATGGCTTCAGGCTTACAAGTGCCTTCCAGTGCAGGAGTGGTCTTGCTGACCTCAGCAGCTATTTTGTTAGGGTGGCACGTGGCCACAGCGAGAGACAGAAAGCACTTGTTTTTCATGCACGTAAATAGGACTGTTCCCAGGGTATAAGCTTCACGGATGCTTCAGTGCCATGCTAAATGCGGGCCAGACTGAGGAACTGACAAGTTGGCAGGAAGAATTGATTGTCCAGAGCGTTAGCCCAACCTGTTATTTTCTCTAAGCTCCTTAGACAGCTGGTGTGCAACTTGCAAACAACCTACTTGTCCTTCTCTGATTCACAGGAAAGTATATGTCTGCTAGATGCACAGGTACTTCTGACAGTGTGTGCCAGCCATGTGGACCAAACGAGTATATGGATGTCTGGAATGAAGAAGAGAAATGCTTACTACATAAAATATGTGATCAAGGTGAGCTGTTCATTCTGAGGAACCTTTTAATCAAAATTAGTGAAGCAGTAAGATGGGAAAGTGGATCTAGGGAAGAGTTACTTTGTTCAGGTACCCAACACTGAAGGCTGTGCTGGCAGAAGAGCCTGGTGTAGAGGGCAGTTCCCAGGCAGCAGAGAGTCTGTGTTGTGCTGAGCACCGCAGCCGTAGTCTCGATGCTGCTGATAACGATTATCTTCACTGGGGCCATTCACTCCTGTGAGTTGGATCTGAAAGGTTGTCCTTTTGCCTAGCATACCGTGCATTCACTTCCCCTAACATATTTGTCTCACTCTTGCAAAAGCTTTGTTTATTTTCTACGTGGCTACAAGGAAAAGTATCACTCACTATGCAATTAGTGGGGATCCTGGTGCTGATCAAGGGTCTCCCACAGATCTTGAAAGATAACATCGCCTTCAAGCAAATAGGTAGAACAGGAGGTTCCTAAAGTTGGGTCTTACTGTCAAAAGAGATTTTTACTGTCATCTGTTTTCTCTTTTAGGGAAAGCTTTGAGAGAAGTGAGCCCAGGGAACAGCACGTCCCAGCGGCAGTGTGCTTGTACGATGGGCTACCACTGGAACGAGGACTGCGACTGCTGCCAGCGCAACACCCTGTGTGCACCAGGATTTGGAGTTGAGCATCCTGGTAAGTTACAGAAAGAGGATGTGAAATGTCCAGCTCCGACCTAAGGAATGAGGCCAGCATCGTGTGGGTTGTAACATTAGACAGGATTCTTTAGACTCTCAGATGACTGTCAACAGAAGATGTGTCTCTGAGTTGTCATTACTAGTGTGCTTAACCCTCCCCGACTGTTTGCATTTTGAAGGCTTCTGCCTCTGTAGTGTGAACAGTATCTTGAATCCAGTGACTTCTGCAAGATATCATGTGGACATGGCAAGAGTTGCAAGCATTTCAGTGTATTTCTAATGTTTGCTGAGGTGTCTGACTGTAAGTCACTAGGACATGCATTGCTCCAGTATTGAGAGAAGTGATGCATTGGTGCTGAGGTTGGATTTGAAATCAGGTTCTGTCCAATGACTTTGCTGTGCCATTTTGTAGTGTTATAAACAAGTTAAAAGTGATTAGCACATTTAAACTAGTACAAGTGTTCTTTATTTTAGATGACTTGAAATGCAAAAATTTATTACAGACATTTAATTTAGTCTTAAGTCTGATCAAAACCAAAATACAAGTGTTTTGTGGGTGGAAAATAGAGACAGTCAGGTTCAGTAAGGAACACTGGTTACAACTGTGCCAAGCACAAGGAACCCCTCAAAGCAGCACATAATAGAAAAATGGAGGATGGAATGCTGAAGCACAGTGGTGCTGTTTTATCTTCAGTCTAGCAAATCCTGATACAGCATTTTGTTTACTGTGGCTTTATAGAAGTGAAAATACCTGTTAGCATTCCTGTCTGTAGTGTAGCGTTGACACAAGAAGTTAATGGAAGGGGAAGGATACAATAGCTGTGTGTTATTTTACAATAACTGTAAATGGTCCCTGGTCGTTTGTTATTTTGATTGTGTGGAGAAGTGCTCAGGTGAGATTGGCATACATTTTTTCTTCTTTCGTGTGGCTGTCATTGCTGCTGTAATGTAGTGTAAGCTATACTCTTCAGGGAAGCTTTTGGGGAGGGTGGGGAGGAGTGTGGATTGAGTGGGTGGGGAACATAGTCACCTTTTCCTCGCCTGAAAGGAACCCATGGAAGCTCACTATGAAGTTTTTCTTTCTTTACTATACACAGTGCAACAAGACAAGGACACAATGTGTACACCATGTCCCAGGGGCTACTTCTCAAATGTCGCTTCATCCACCGACAAGTGTAAATCCTGGACCAAGTAAGTCCCTGTATCTTGTAGAAGGACCATGACAGTCAAAAGCTGGGGAGAAGCTTGAGCAAGAGCATTTTTCAGTGGGATGTTTCAGGCTGTCTGCCGAGTGCACAGAGCATTTTTGTTGGCTGTGCAGCAATAAAGGCATTCCCACACTGACACCTGAATTTTCCTTGGGTGGGAGCAAGAAAGAGCAGTAACAGCAGAACTGCTGAATGAGCACAGCTTAAAGTAAAGACGGTATCTAAGATTAATGGTGGAGAAATTCAGGATAAACTTTGGGTGTTACGGCAGAAAGTACTACTCTGCATAAGCGTAGGAGCCATCACAAGCTCCCTCTTTGCACACCTAGCCTCTTTGTCTTTCTTTTTCAGCTGTACAGCTCTAGGAATGACAGAAAGTGTGCCTGGGACCGACAAGTCAGATGCAGTTTGTGGAGAAGGGAAGATCCCTGAGCCATCAGAAGATGGTATGTGCCCTTGTACATTTTATCTGTTAGAAAGTACCAGGGAGGAGGAGGGATGTGTTTACTAGGAGTTTTGGCTGGCTTAAGACTCCATTCCCATTGTGGATGGGGAGCAGCTGCAGATCAAGGCAGCACTCTTGGAAAATCCCAATTGTAAAGATTCCTAAGCCTGGCAGCTCTGGTGCCCATGTCCACTACTAAGCAGAGCTTTACACCTCCCAGGGAAACTGCACGGCAAGCAGCATTGTTGTTATACTCATCACCTCCATCACCTTTACAGGTCTTCCATTTTCTCAGCCTGCTCATTTCCACACACACTTTATCTGTACCAAGGCTACCAGCTTCTCTCCAGGCTTCTTTTATAGCAATACAGTCTCAGCTGAAGGTAGCTCTCCCTTCTTGCCTAGTGCCCATTTCCCTCTCCAGTGTGGGTGTGGTACCAGGGAGGCTGCTTGCCTGGTGTGCAGTGACTCTTCATAACCTGAGATAAAGGACAGATATTGCCAGCTGAATTCTACAGTCTCAGTGAGAGGTATGTTGTCCCCTCCCAAGGGAGAGCAATCACAGCCTAGGGGCTGCTAGCAGCTGGCAAGGGGACATTTGTGACTGGATCAAACCTCTCTGAGACACCCAAGACTCTGATTTTTATGGAGATGGCTTGGTACCAGGTACCTTCAGTAAGGCTGCTTGTCACAGAACTGCTGGAGTGCTAGAGCTGTTGTCCTTATTATAAAAACTGAAAATCAAAAAGGAAGGAAGAAAATCCTTCTCCTTTGGAAAAGCAGGTAAAATGCGTAAGGATTGTCATACTGTTGAGCACAAGCTGCATGTTGATGGCACTATCTTTTTTATATCCTGCAGGAGCAAACAGAATCTTATACGTGTTGATTGTCATCTTGTTTTTTGTGGCACTAATTGGCATTGTCATCTTCATCATATACTACAAGAATAAGGGAAAAAAGCTGACAGGTATGTGATAGCTAAGGACATTCATGCACATGACAGCTGCATGGCTGGCTGTGCGCTCTCTTTTCATGAGTAACCACCAGGTTAAGAAACTCAGGAGTTCTGTGCTGTCCCTGTATCTGTCCATATGACTGTGCTTTAACTAGCACAAATCCAGGCTTCAAATTCCTTTCCTCTAGGCAGGGAGTGTATTACACTTATACACACAACATAGCACTTGGTGTCCTCCAGCAGCCCTGACCAGGGGGTGCCCACCCCTGGGGCAGCCGCAGCTTTTATAGCAGCACGGCCGCTCTGCACCATGTGGCACAGGCAGACCCCCCAGCCAAGGGGAAGCAGGGACAGACACTGGGAGCTTTCACCCCCTCCTGTCTCCTTCTTCCCCCTTCCCCTGAAACCTACATTTGAATGAGTTAAAATACAGTATTAAAGATGAAAGCCTGATGTGTTTTTGAAAACTTGATGGAAGCAATGTTTTTTAGCTGGAGGTCAAAGTTCTGATGATGTACTGAAGAAATACCAGAAGTAATAGAATAAATAATAAAAGTAGAAAATAGAAATGTTTTAGCAAAGGCACACAAGATAACAGTGGGGAATGTAATATATTATAAATATATCAGTAATACCTCCAGTATTAACTCTTTGTTAAACCCAGGATCTCCTTAGTTAACAACGTACTCCTATTGTTCTTTACATTTTTTATTTTTCTTCCTCTACACATGGAAAGCTTTTCCTGGTGTAGTTTTTCCATCATCTCCTTTGCCAGACCCTAACAACTGATGAAATATTTTGGGAGCAGTGGAAGGGAAGACAGCAATGCTCTCTTTTAAAGTGTATTTCAGCCTGTGTTTTAGAAATCAGCTGCCTCTGCCACACTAAACACGGGTTATACTAAATCTGGAATTCCTGGGATGGGCTGGAGGAAATGGTGACTCTCCTTGCAAACCAAATACTTGCAATGCAAAGCAGGTTAAAGGGTGATGCTCTCTATTTGACATTTCTGTTGCCCTGCAGCTCTGTAGTGACAGTCCTCTGTTGCCTTTGCATGGCAAATCCTGCTGACTGAGGCCCCTGAGACTTGCAGGCTCAGGAAGCAGCTCTGCCTACTTGGGGACTGATGGTAAATGTGCAGACTTAACATCAGAGGAACAGAATTGTTGCTGGGAACTGGAAATGGCTACAGAGCTGTTCTATCTTCAGACATACAAAATCAAATGTACACTAGACCTGAGTCCTACAAAATCTTCTGGAAGTGTAAACAGAAAACAAGAAGACCTGCTAACTCTAAGAAAGTGGCAGTCTTTACCATAAAGCATTGTTGGGCTGAAAGCTTTTCTATGGGAGATACTCCAAATAAGTGAAGTTTGCCATTTAGTACACCCCAATGAAGTGGAATACACTGTATATGAGCCTGCCATCCTGTGGTTTCAGTGGCTTACCTCTTCTCTCCAGGCTCCTCACCCCTGTCTGAGAATGGTCTTCGGGCCATCCATGTGACTTCTCCTGAAATAGACTGTATGGCTTCAAGTGGGTCAGGCCAGTCATAGTTTGGTGTGACATATGACCAGGAAAGAAACCCCATTTGATGTGGAACACAGTTTAACCGTGGTCTATTTTAGGAGCTTGGAAACATTTGTTCCATAGAAATATATCCATGTTCCAGTTACAATGAATCCTCAGCTGGACCAATGCTGGGACACTTGAACAGTCAGTAAAAACAATCTGGTTGGTTTTCATTTAATATGGTATTGTGGATCATGAATGACTGTGAGTGTTTAGGTCTGTGGCTAACTTCAGTGCCTGCTATACATTACAGCTACTCTTTTTGTTTTCCCTGCAGCAGATCTACAGAATTGGGCTAATGAAGTGTGCAGCCAAATAAAAGGAACAAAGGTAAAGTCAAAGGCACTAACATTTTCTCTCTGATTTATGTTTTCCACATGGCATTCCT